TAAGTAGCCATTATTCTTCAAGTCTTTACGTACTCATTAAACATAGTGTTTTCACCAAAAATTCTGGTCCTGTTTATGACATTATCTAATTGTCAAAGGTACATTGACCTTCATTAACAGTAATGCTGCTTCTGAATAGCTGCAAAACAGTAACATTTGGGGACTAAATTCAGACATCTGCTTATTCCACTCTCAAACCCTTTCCAATTTAAACGAGGGCATTTTTGCTATAACTAAGTGAAATAAAATAATAATAAAAAAAAATCTTTAGTAGATTACCATAGTATTTGATGTCCCCTTAATTACAGAAGCACAGATTACTCACACAGAGTTGGCAGCTCCTTAGTTTTTTAATTACTATCAACTACGTCTGAGTAGACTAATTTGTCAGTAAATATTCAGTGCTAGTTAAAGGTTGACTGAAAATCTCAACCCGTCACAGCCTTTTGTCAGATCATGGAGCAGCTCTCCATCTCCCAAGGCAGTCAAATGATCAAAAATCTTTTAGGCAACAAGTTTCACTCCTAGAAATGGAGTGTCAGAGGAACGGCCAGCACAGATCAAAGCAGTCATCCATCTAATCCCAAATCCTGACTTGAAAAGTGATACTTTACAGGAAAAAGAACAAAACTCTTCATTTAGGAGACAAATCTACCCTGTGAAAACTGTCTTTTTTGCCTCATGTGCCACAAGACCATTTATGCAAGGAAGCATGAAGATTTATAATCCTTTCAATACTCTGGACATATTTTTAAAATACTAATCATTTCAAAGTAGCATGTTATTTTATTCTTATTAATGTTCAGTACAGAATACCATATGGCAATGTGTGATGCAGATTATTCATTAGTCCCAAAGGAAAAACAACCTTCATGTGCTGCTTTTGAACAAGCCAACTTTCCAGTTATGCTCTTCTTTAGGACATGAAGAATTTTGAAACTCTGCATCCATCTCCACATCTTCTATGATCTTGCATCACAGGTTTCCCATATCTCTCCACCAAAATTCTCTCCCTTGTATTAGAAGACTTCAAGTGACATTACTGAAGGTGCTATAGGTTTATAAAAAATAGACTGGGGATTGTTTTCTTAGGATGTGTACTAGGTTAAACATTAAGAGAAAATCAGTGTTTTGTAGTTTTAAGTGATGGCTGGGAGATAAAGAATGTGAGCCAGTAGATGGGAGAATAGACCACCAAACATCTGGAGAGCTGTCCTACATCTGGAGACTAACTTAGCTACTTGTACCTTCTGCATGACTTCACTATTTCTATCAGTTCTCCCACAGAATAAATTTTGTCCTCAAGATTGCTTTATGAGGATCAGAAGGACTCTGAAGTGCTCAAGTTCAACTTCAAGTAGGAACATACAAGTACAATTATAGGGATAAACAAATTAGTTCTGTAGTGCTGTAGTAAGTGAGAACTGTACTCTAAATATAAAAAAAAAAAAAAAAGAAAGAAAATACAAAGTGAAGTGCAGGTGACTAATGACTTTTTTTTTTTTTTTTAATTAGGGTAAATCATAGTGGTTGAATGGAAAAACTGAAGGTTTCTAGTCACATGCTTGCTTCTTATCTGCTTTGTTTTTGTACCTACTTTTTGGCATCACAGCCAATGTTGTTTCTGTACAGCGTTTATGTCCAGGAGGCAATTAATAATATATAATCCTGCTACAGTTACATTTTTTTTATTATTAATATTTTTCACTTTTTTTACATTTATTTATTATAACTGCTCTGTTAAGTTGTACATACTAATTCACTAAAATGATTCCTCAACTTACCAGAATATACTGCAGGTCATTATAGCTTACACTAATACTTTAAGTTAGACTTCCTAAAGTAGGAAAGTGATTAACATAACAAACTTCATTTCATTCATGATAATTTGTTGTCTCATTAGAATGTTTATTCCTAAACTTATGTTAGGTGTGGCATTTGTTCCCTGGCTGCTATCATTAAATCATTAAATGCTTGGATTTCTCATGGCTTAAAGACACCACAATTAAGGACAGTGTTAATCGCTCAGGGGGAGGAGGTGGAAGAGGGTGGATGGGGGGGAAGGCATTTTTTGTTTTCTTTCCTTTGTTTCTCAGTTCTCTAGCTTGTTAGTAATAGGCAACAAATCTTACTATCTCCCTACTCTGAGTCTGTTTTGTGCATCACGATAACTGTTGAGCAATCTCCCTGTCCTTATCTTAACCCTTGAGCCCTTTTTTCTTCCCCTTCCCCTTTGAGGAGGGGGAGTGAGAGAGCAGCTGAGGTGGAACTTGGCTGCACACCCGAGTAAAACCACAAGAGTTCTGCATAATTTTGTGAAAAAAAGAACATTTTTCAGCATACATATATACTTCTGAAACAGTGGCTTGGACCTACACAAATTTCTACTACTGCAATGGAGTCCTACGGGTGATAAAGTACCAAGTTATTTGTAAATGTAGTTGAATATTGTATACAATGCTTTTACTGTGAATACTAATGTATACATACACCGATTAATCTAGGAGAAGCTACCCAATGGAAAAATACACAGACTGAAATAATCCTAAAAGACAATAGACAAGGCCAGAAAACAACTTCACAACTTCAATAGAGACCAACAAAAAACAAAAAATCAATTTCAATACCATAGACAGGTTTGGAAAACCACCTGAATACTGCTTTCAAAGTGCAAATTCATCACATGAGGACAATGTAAGATTGGTCATGTTCATACACATTGTCCCAGCTTGACAAGTCATTTTCTAGGGACATATTTCCATTTACAATGTTCATAGGGTACAGCGTCAACAGGTTAAAAATACCCAATATTAATATTTTAGGGGAAGCACGGAAAACATTGATAAACAATAAAATTCAAGAATGAGCAAACTAACACATTTAGTTTTCTCCTATCTTCATGGACTTTACCAACAGCCAGACTCACTGATGTAGGAATTAACTCCATAGATCTTATGCCACACCAGCATACTGGCATGAAAGCCAAATGGACATCGTGTTCCTACTGAAGTTTTCTCACCCCAAAGGAGAATTCCCTATTAAAATGGAATAGTTTTAGCTTCTCCATTTCTCCTCAGTACTTTGTAGCCTGACTGGGCGGCTGATGGCTCAGACCCTAAGAATATTATCATCACTAATTGGTCAATAAGTAAATCATAGAATCATAGAATATCCTGAGTTGGAAGGGACCCTTAAGGATCATCAAGTCCAACTCTTGACACCGCACAGGTCTACCCAAAAGTTCAGACCATGTGACTAAGCGTGGTCCTTTCCTCCCAATGAAAGAAGCAGCCTAAGAAATCTACATAAATAAGGTGTGAATATATACAGATCAGTCCTCATAACTATTTGATAATGACTTTTTTTGCCATAGGCAAGAATAGTTCTGCATGTGTCTGTTTCCAAGCAGCATTTCCAGCTATACAGACCTGCACAGAGTACATCTTCCTGTGTAGCATGTTTTCTGCCTCTGCTCTTTTTCTTTACACTGTTACATGTTTATGCATTCTGTAAATTATCTGAGTAAAGAAAGTATACATTACTACAGCTTTGTTGTGCAAAAGTCATTGCAGGGAACAAGTCTGACTACACATCATGTCAGTTTTTTCTTTACAGAAAAGTGATAGGTGCACTGCTTACACAAGTATCATGACAACCACATCAAATAAACTTCATTTTTCATAGAGTAAACTGACAGTGACATTTAATATGAAGAACAGGGGATAGATTTTCAAATCTATGGAAATCTTTGACAGCTTAGATACAAAACCAGGCTAGCATACCATAGATATGTCAGGTCAAAATAAAGTCTAACTTTTTCACAGACAATAGACAGGATTTTACAGCTTAGCTATTTATAGGCTCATTCAATTACTCTAGAGCAAATGACATATTTTTCACTACATTTTCTCAAAACAATCACAGTCATCATATTTAAATATTCTGCTTTAAAAGGGGAATTGAATATCCTCAAACTTCAGGTGCAAGATTTCTCATGGTTTGCCTTTAGAACATGCAACCCGTATATCCAATGAATTAAGGACAAACATTTTTGTTTGAATAATATTTATTTCAGTGTTGTTGGGCAAGGAGAGGAGGGTCTGATGAGGTCCCTAAATGAAATTTCTTCCGTATCAGTATCTTTAACCTCAATACCTGGAAAGTAGTTGGGTAAATACTGATAATTCATATACACTGAACAACAACAACAAAAAAATTAGATTTTCAGTTTCCTGTATGGGATCCAGAAAATTCTGAAATCCTAAATGCAAATTAATGCAATAATACTGTTTCCATATAGCACATTGTTTTGATGGTATAAAGCAAAATAAGGTTTTCATGGAAATAAATTTTGGAAGTGAAACGTTAAGAGAAGCTTATGAATTTCAGAAATTCCTGCAGGTTATGTATTATTTGGTAAAATTTTGAACATTTTCACTAAAAATTTCCAGCTCTTCTGTTTCCAAAGACTGAACAGCCTGAGAATTCATGGTTATCTTGTTTGTTCACAACCAAATTGAAACAATAATGCACTTACCAAGGCATGAACATCTGCCATGTAGCTGGATAGAACGTTAACATCCATATGCAATTTGCCCAGATTAATTGTTAATAGCTGTATGGATAGTTTGTTCACAACAAAAATTTGCCACCACCACATTAGAGTACATTGCTAACTTAGGATACAACATAACTGAGAAAAACAGATACTAAAGTCTAGGTAACTGCACAGTTTTAAAAATAGCTGTAATAGGCATGCATCAAGGCAGTATAGATTTCACTTTTGTGACACATAGCTTTTCCCTGAAAAGCTGACACAGGATGTAATTACGCAATACATTTTCTTCAAAAGTGTTTAATACACCCAGTCCAGACGATCACTCTTGTGACTCATTTTGCTGGATTTCTTCAAACTGCACCAGTACAGCTATTAGCAGGACTTTGTTGTAAATCAAATTAAAAAAAAAAGGGGGGGGGGGAGGGGAATGGGGCATATGTTTTTTGTTTGTTTGTTTTTGTTTTTTAGCTCAACTAAGCCAATTTCAAGGTTCACAAACAATCAATACACATTTGGTAGAGGAGGCAGAAGGACAGAGACAGCAGCAAACCTGATGCAGAAGGGCAGACAGAAGCAGGGAAATAGGGCAAGATCTTCCCAAACCAGATCTGCTGAAGAAAAATATGTCTATCTTAGGGTTGCCAAGACAGTGAAGGATCTAGAGGGGAAGATGTATGAGGAGCAACAAGAAGCTGTCTCAGGGGAGGTTCAGATAGGATATTAAGAAAAGGTTCTTCACTAAGTGGGCAGTTGGGCACTGGAACAGGATTCCCAAGGAATTGGTCACAGCATCAAGTCTCTCGGAGTTCAAGAAATGATTGGACACTTCTCTCAGGTTTGATTTTTCAGTGGTCCTTTGCGGAGCCAGAAGTTGGACTCAATGATCCTTTGGCATCTCTTCCAGCTCAGGATACTCTATGTTTCTATGGCTCTATTCTGAAACTAGTGTACCTCTGGAGTGTGCAGCATAGGATTGCACAAGCGATGAGTAAGTTGATGATTAGTAGCAAACAATACATAAAATGTGTTTAGCATAATGCATGTACTAACCCACTGTTTTACAGTATCTAATACTAAACATTTTAATTTTTAAGAGTAATTTCAAGAAATAGGGTATATCTCAAAAAAAAAAAAAAAAAAAAAAAAAAGAATCAACTATCTAATTAACATTTTATAGATCATTGTAAAATATGATTAATTTGGTTAGATAGAGACCCAGACTTCAGGGTGGCAGAAATATGTGCTGTTACTGATTTTACTCTGAGTATTAGCGCATCACAGTTGTGTTTGTGAGATCTGGATTCAAAGCAGCTACAGGTACTCAGAAGCAAGTGTTAGGTTTCACTGAAAGCAAGGAAGAGTAAAACAACTCAGTAGAAACAAAGTTTCACATTGGCAGGATGCTGCCAATGAGCTGATCGGAAGCACCCTGACTCTGAGATATAGTGATTTTCCACTCCTAAAGCCTGATGAACCAGGAAATATAAAATTCTTTAAGAGATTATAGATATATTTAGAGGACTTGAATTTACTCCTGAAATTATTGTTATTTGTATTTTTAGAACAATGACAAAGTGGATATGACTTTCCTGGTTAACATAGGAAATCCTACTACAAATACTTGGACCGCTCTCATGAGCCAGGTGATCAAAAAGTTTGCATACTATACTGCTAGGCACATTGCAATAATTCTGTTTTATTCAATTTCCATTTACACATACATTACTTTATATATATATATATATACATATATATATAGGATATATATATATATCCAAAGGAAAAATTTAAGCCAGTGTGAATTCTTCAGAGAAACAAGGCAGAAAGACAGCACTCAATATAGCCATAAAAACATGGATATTATAATTCCACAAAAAATGGGGACTTGAGTTACTTGCTGTATAAATTAGGTTTGGAAATAAATGAGCTACCTTTTATTGTTTAGCTCTTCTGTGATAAGTTTCCCTTCCACATGGATTGAAGAAACGTATGAGACATTCCTTTCCTTGTAAGGACATAGATAAATAATAAATGACAGACAGCATGAGTTTAACCACAGCTTTAGATGTCAGAATGATTAAATTTATAGATAAAGAAAATGTGTTACAAGTAATCTATCTAAACCTTAATATTAATTATTTGACACATATAGGAAACTACTAGTTAATCTGTAGAAAATGGTGGTAAAAAACTCTAATGATAGATTAGAGTTAGATTAGTAGTTAGAACTACTTAAAGGGCACTTACCAAAGACATTGCAAAAGAAAAAGGAACATCTGGGCCGGAGGCTTCTTATCTAATATTAATGACTTCCCATAAAAAAGCAGGAGGTGCTGTTTTTTTTTTGTTTGTTTGTTTTGTTTTGTTTTTTTGTTTGTTTGTTTGTGTTGTTTGTTTGTTTTGGTAACAGGAAGTTGGAAGCCATCAGATTGAAGGGCAATAGAACATCAACCATGAAGATGAACAAGATGACCTTGAGGATGATGGTAGAATGAAATTTCACACTATTAAAATTTAAGTGTACTAATAACAGGAAATGGTGGCCCAGGGGGTAGTTCATAGGAAATGTTACAAGATGAAAATATCTTTTGAATGTTAATTAAACAGAATGACTGTGTCCCAAAATTCTCCCACCCTGGCATTTACTTCCCCTTTACCTCTTTTAATGCCTCAGATTTCCTATCTCTGTTTTGAGGTATCACCTTTTTCCCTTCATTAGGTATATTTAAAGAGTTACAGAGGTGCTTCTGACTCGGTGAGAATGGGTACCTGCAGAACCACCTTAGCTGCTCCCCTCTGTAAGCATTCCTAGTTCTCATGATCATGAAAAATATGTTTTGTTTTTCTATACAAGTATTGTTGTTATTTTTCTATACATATTGGGAAACACTCATGCTCTAGTTCAGTGAATGAAGTTCTCATCTAGAAGGTTTTCTAGAATTCTTGTAACCAGCAGTAGAAAAAAAAATGAAGTTAAAATGGCATGGGCATAGAGGTGAACTATTAAGACCAATTGATGAATGGTGAACTCTCTCATCAAGAACGGACTAAAGAATGTTTGCCCTTCTGTCTAATAAAATGAATTCCAAACCACAATTATAATTTATTTCCAAGCAAACAAAACAAACAAAAAGGATCAGAAGAGTAAGTTGTTAAAATAATAATGTCAGCACAAAACAAATATTACCGTGAGTAAACTGGCATGGAAATTAGAAAACTTAAGAACCATTAAAGGAATTTGATAGCTCCAAGCAGTCATAAAAATCATTTTTAAAACAAAGCCTGACATAAAAGACATTATGAGATATGGTTGTCATAAACAGAGGCTGAATTTGTTAACACATAAGTGTTCTGTGGTTATAACTCTGAATTTGGCAAACTGTGTGTACCAAAAATATGTGACATACTTTAATTACAGGGATCTTTCTTGGTTCATATAAAATATTAACATAAGACACTTAAGTTAAAATACATAGATATTCAGACACATACAAAAGGCATTCAGACACACTAGATTCATGCATAACCAATTTTACATAAAGACAATTTGACCATTGCTACTCTTTTAGACATTTCTCTTATTCTGGGTCTACTGCTGCAATCAGCAGAAGCATTTGTTACTGTAATTATGAACACAAAGTACAATAGTAATACTTAATGATCAGCTGATCTGCTAATAACACTGATGCTATTTCTGATAAGAGTCAATGATCTATAATGATTTTCAATTAAATTTTGTACTATCTCTCAGTTTGAAAATCCACTCTACATAAAATACCTTAGCCAAAACGCTTTTTTTATACACAAAATTTCATTATTTAAAAAATAAGACTTCATTTGATTAAAAGGTAAAAAGTTAATTTTGATTCTCGTTCTCTAACACCCAGTAGAAATTGAAGTAGGTGGAAACTCTGTACTTGTGGCCAGCAATTTTCTTTAGTGGTCTTTTTTCCCCTAATTTTACACACAGTTTGTTTGCCAATAGTATTATTAATTGAGGTTCCTCCTTTTTTTCTCTCCATAGGAAAGATGTTGCACATTCCAGAACATTATCAGGCTCTGAGGTACTTGTCACTTATGTAACCAGAATATCACAGAATTACAGAATCACAGAATTGTCTAGGTTGGAAGAGACCTCAAGATCATTGAGTCCAACCTCTGACCTAATAACATATAATTTTGTATGTGTGAAAAGTGCCTCTTAAAAATGAATAAAGTTACCAGTACAGAATCAGGAGTTTTAATTCATGCTTATGGAAACAGGAATGGTGTTACGTAAAGCTGTATAACAACTGATTAAACTCCATTGTGAAGACAGACATACATAGCAAAAATTACTTTTTAATCCTCTGAGTAAAAGTTATGCTAGGAAATAGCATATACAATATTCTAAACTACAAAAACAGTTTCTAGAAGTATTCACTGTCTCTTAGTAGCAGTACCAAAATCTTTTGTGGTAAGTATCCTGGAATCACCATACATAATTAGTGAGAAGTAACATCACATATCAAACTTCTGATTTGCTTCTCTAGTAAAGAAATAATTACAAATTACATTGTTTTTATTAAATAGTAAATTTAAATTTTCAAAACAATCCAAACCCCACATTTTTAGACACAGGCTGACTTCTGCAGATTCAGACCACACAGTCACAGCCCACCACTGCCATGCTGGTTCCCCAGGTGTGTGCAGTGTAGGAACACTACCTTACAAACTTCACCCTTCAGAAATGTAGGGAATCATTAATTTATATTGCATGTGCAAAAGACAGTGATTATACCACATTTGCTCCCATCTGGTTTTACTGCCATGCTGAGTATTAAAAAAAAAAAAAGCAGGAGAAAGCAGGACACAGAGTTTGGGTGGGACCTGGCATTATGTAAGTTAGGAGCTCCCACCTAAGTATTGTTTTCCTGGGGAATGCAATGTTCTGGTGTTAGATGTGAGATTTATTTTGTGTGTTTTTTTTGTTTGTTTGTTTTGTTTTGTTTTGTTTTTCAGTCATATCTCCATTTTCTAAGAAGTACCTGTATCAGGAACAACCCTCAGGAATAAAGGAAAGCTGTTCTGCGCTTCAGAGGTTGGAAAGTTAGCAGAGATGAGTATGATGGAGGTCATGGGCCTGACTGCTTTGCACCACTCGGCCAGGCCTGCAACCTGCCTGTGCTCCTGCAACTCACTAGCACATGCACAAGGGTGTTTTTTTTATTTGTTTGCTTGTTTTATTTTTTTTTTTAATGGAACTGTAAAATAAGGTATGATTTTGATGTAACTAATATATATGGTTCTGAAACTTAAAACTGTTAGTTGTTTTGTGTTGTGGCTGCTAGGGTGAATTCATTAAGTCTGAGACGAGGTGCTTATTGTGCTTTATGAACAAATTAGTAAGGAAAGAAATGGGAAAAGTAATTATTTATGTTACCGTAAAGAAAAATCTTTTAAATAAAGATTAATGTTCAAATTGTTTAATATTGTTGACATGTAGTTCAAGCATTCCCTTATACACGAATAATAAATGCCTATTTCTTTGTATAGCTTGTCAGCATATATTGCTTTCTGATGTTTATGGTAAAACATCAACACAAAACCTCAGTATATCAGGTCTCTTGTGTTTTAACCCATTTAGTGGATACGGTTCTATCAAAGTAACACTGTACTAGGAAAAATGCGCAGTATCTTTTCCACTTGATAAGACTACCCTTCAGGGATCCTCATGTATTGAAACAGTTACGCATGCCCCACAGGCTATTTTATTTTTTCCTCCTACTTCTAGACCCTCATTTATTTTTGTTTTTAACAGAATTTAAAATTAAAATTTTTAGAACAGATAAAACAGACAAGTGCTCACTGATGCTTTTAGAAAAATCCTTCTTTTGAATGCAAAAGCTGTTGCAGTTCACGCTATCCATAGCAGATCACACAGAAAAGTCTAACAAGCTTCTGTTGAAGCAGTGAGCTTTTTTTATTATTATTATTCCAGTCAGTCAACTGACAACAGCTCCAACCCAGTTAGAAATCCTTTAAACTGCACTTCGGAAATCACCATCACAATTGCTACTAATTGGCACTTTTGTTGGCAGCCTCAGGAGAAGAAAGAAGCCAATGACTGAATGGGCCATGGAGAATGAACTCCCCTTCCAGCCTGTCACAAACCAGAATAGGGCAAAAGTACATTCCTGTAGGAATGTGGGTTTTTTTTTTGTTCGTTTGTTTGTTTGTTTTTCTTTCCATTATTATTAAAAAAGAAAAAAAATGCCCCTAATGCACAGCATCTCTGCTCTACCTGGCTTGTACCTAGAAAACATCACTCTCAGGACTAGCTATCTAAAGTGTTTCCAGGATCTTAAGAATCATTTAGGAAAGATTGTTGAAATACGTGTTGTTTTTTTTTTTGTTTGTTTTTGTTGTTTTTTCCTTTTGTTAGTTTTCTAGTTTATTACCTAAAAGGAAATTTCTTTAATAGGAAAAAAAAAAATCATCTGAAGCTAGATGAAAGAAAGCTAGCGACTACACTATGCCCAATGAAAACAGATCTGAAAGAAGATTAGAAAACAGATGATCTACTTAAAATTTTAGAAATATTTTATTTTATTTGTTGTTGTTGGTTTTGTTTTTTAACGATACTACTAAATCTATGTACCGTGCTTCAATTTCAGTCCATACATAAACAACCCTCCAGCCCACTTTCTCTAACATGAGCCACTTTTTAATCAGATCGCGTATAGTAAGATTCTAACTGAAGGTCCACAACCGCTTTTCATAAACTCACATTTCCATTACTTGTTTTCACTTCTTTCTGATGCGTAATTGTAAGTTATAATCATCATCATCGTCATCATCATCATCATCTAGGTGTAGGTTCAAAACCCATCTTGAACCGCTGAACTTCAGGAAGACCAGGTCTTAACTCATGTTAAGGCAAAAGCTTATTCACGTGTGAAACCTGCAGAAATGTGAATTGTCTAAATGATTGCCCTATTGATTACTTGATAAAATGGCTTTCTTAATGTGTGGCAATTAAAGGATTGTGGCATTCCTTTCTTGAAACGTACATTATTGCATGTCAGCCAAATACAAAGATTTAGGTTTTTGCTTTATTTGGAAGTCCTATTGAACAGCTGGATACTCACAATACTCCTCTGTAACTATTGAATTGCTGACATTGTTAGGTTGGCTAAGCATATAATTAGCATAAGTTATATCAACCTGTCCACTAAGTTCAAGGAACACAGAAGAAATTATTACACTTATTTCACGTTCTAATGGACAATGTTAACACCATTTTCCTATTTTGAACAAGTCTGTTTTATGTTGAAAGCATCTCACTGTCAGACATGGCAATAGCTGGAGGATGGTCATGCAATAAGACTAGGATTTGGGCCTTCTGCTTAGAATTACTCACTATTTTCCCAAGTGATGGTTTAATAAGACTAAAGTCTATACATGGCAGAGTTCACTTTGTGCTGAATAGTTAGAGAATTGTATATCAAACACACCATCAGCTCATTGTTTGTGTCATTAAACAAAATAAAAAATAAAAAATAAAAAAATGTCTATTGTGTTGTAAAGAGCCTCTGGAAACTCCAAAAGAGGAGGGCAAACTTATTGCCACCCACCATACACATAAAGCACCTCTCCTACTCCTTAAGTGAATAGGTACTGGCTTTCTATCGTGCCAGTCAAGAATAATCACACATAACCAATCCAGCCTTATCTAAAAATGAATATCTTTACTGTGGGGATGATGAAAGCAAAAGTTCCTATAAAAAGTGCAGAACCTCAATTTAGCTGCTCAAAGACCACACTGAAATAGCCTGAGCTAAAAATTTAATCGGTTAATGGTGACACCTGTACTGTTCAAAATAAAATAATAATACTAATAAACAACAAAACAAAAATTCTTGGCATTTGAGGTTAATTAGGTAATAATTGAAGTCTTCTGGTTTCTGAAGGTTAAAATGTTTGTGTAGTATATAATATATAGTGTGTTAATATGACAAAGGACAGTTTTATGCCACTTCATTGTAATACAGCAAACTATTGTTTTCTAGATTGGGAAAACAAACCACTTTTTTTTTTTTCCTTAAAATGGGAACATTGGTTGCTGGCAGCATTAAATATTTTTTCTACTTACTGATTTATTTATTGTTCTGTCAAGCTAAGAACATTCAAAGCACTTCAGCTCTAAATATACTCAACTTATCAAAAATCATGTACAGAATGAGAAGTGTCAGAATAAAATTAACAAGATTTTTTTTAGTGTAAGTTGTAACAAACAGAGCTTTATATTTAGTGCAATGTATTTTTTGTTGTAAAGCCAAAGTTTAGCCTTTAAAATAAACCGCAGAATTAAAAAGTGAAACACTGTTGTTTGTTTTTTTTTCTGAGGAGGAATTTAGAAACAGTGTTATGCATATAATTTTAATTAATGGAAATTACTGCAAAACAGTAATTATGAGGCAAAAATTTGCTTGACACCTGATTTTCAAGTGGAAAATGAGTAATGCATTTTTTGGAAAAGAAAGGGATGTAATTGTTCAATATGTTAGTCAACTGCAGTAAGAATGGGGAATATGAGAATAACCACAAGCTTTTTATTTATTAAATCTCTACCATTTCAACTGCCAACTGACAAAGAGGAAATGACTTAACTACAAAATATTAACAGAAGTTTTCACCAAATTGAGTTAGTTCCTAACAGAAAATGACTGTAGTGTGGCTCTTAGTATGCTAGTTAAGATTTCTGTGAGTAAAATGTGAAAATGACAGATGCTTAACAGAGGCAGGACATTAAAACATACCAGTTTCACTTTCTTGGAGTTTTCAGTCAACTAGAGAGAGCTTACGTATAGCTGATAGCCCTTACTTGATTTTCACAAATGTCAGCTATTACGGGATATCTTTGAGATTCTTATTTGCTTCCTATTATCTGGAGTAAAAAGCAGTCATACTTGCAATTTTAGTTTTAGTAGGCTGGTAGCTAGTTCTGGGGGAGAGTTTAGGACTCCTGTGTTATAGATTCTTCCAGAAGTTTGCTATGCAGTCATGTCAGATGAGCAAGAAACATATGTTCCTTGATTGTTACAGGTACAACGCTGGAGTGAAAAGTATGAGACTTTTATATATATATATATATTAAATGACTGAAATAAGCTTAAATTCTGATCATATCATTTATGACAGACTATAGCTTTCATATACATTAGCTTCTCCTAGCCTTTATTCCAGTGAGATATGACAGCAGTAATAGCATATATAACAACCTGAGTAACCACAGAATGATCTAACACTGAAATCTTTCAGTCTATACGTTTTGGTTAGTTTTTCTACTTCGATTAATCTTACAGAGATGCTTGGGGATGGAGGATTGTAGGCAGTCTTTATTCTGAGAAGTGTTATATTCTTAACTCCTTACTTTTACAGGTATAAGAACGTTTTAATGCTTTGCACCATCAAGATGCATTTTAAGAAGGACAATGCTGTACTTGATTTGTATGCCTAATTTGCAGTGCAAAAAGAAATCAACTACTTGTTCTTGATTCATATTTTCAATGAGCTTGTTATTTGCTCTGTTCAGTGTTTGTGCAAGAAAAATTGCTCATCGGAAAGAAAAGTAGAAAAGAACAAAGAAAAACATTTTTAGCTTAATTTTAATTTGTGCATGCTGGGTAAACAGCATACATTTTCTTGTAAAAATTGTGATGAAATTGGAGCCATTGAGCTAGGGAGTGTTCAATCTCAGTTTTGCTTGTTTAACCAGTTCTCGATTTCTATGCAAGTGAATCTAATGCAATATGGCTGGGGGATGTTTCTTACTGTATTTCATTACAGCTGCAGAGAATTTACAGCAATTAGCTTTTCATGTTTCTCTCTGTTTCTTTTTGTATAGTACTCCCTATCATGGGATTACTCTTATTATCTTGTATGTTAAAGCTCATCAAATTTGTATCCTTATTTGCCAGGCAAAAATTAGCTATAAGCTATATGAGTTGCATTTGAGTTATGTACTTTGCTGATTTTACAATGTGTTCTCTTCAAAGATCAGCTAGTAAATTACTGGTGTGCCTCAGGACCTAAGCAGATGCTCTTAGTTTTTGTTAGTTCATATGAATTTGGACAACAAACACTCCTAAATGTATGCATCCTTTTCATTGTCAAAGTTATTTGAAGAGACTGTCATAGGACATGGATTATATCTGGTTACAGTTCTGAAAGTCAAATTGTACAATACTCATTTTCTTTTGCACCAAGTGATTTTTATTTTTTTTTTTAATTTGTAAAGAGCTCTTCTAGATCCTGATTGTCCCTCTATTTTGTGACCTTTCCGATAATCACTCAAGTTTAAATATAGCTAAATGTGCATGCAATTCCCAGAAAGTGAAATAGGCATTAAATGGCCTTAAAACAAACTGCCAGGATCTCTAGTAAGGTTTCCTCAGCATGTATGAGATTTTTTTTCTTTTTCTTAGGCTGCAAACTAGAGTACAGAAACCAATTTAAAATGCTAACAGTGGTAAGAAATTGCTGTTTCGTTAGTCACAAAAGTGCTGCCACTGTGCTGCAATAATGTCTCAACAATGCAGTGCTTATTTGAATGTTTTAAGCTTGAGATGATGCAAGGCTCCAATTCAGCCAGACTTTGAGAGCCTGAATCTGTGTAGATTTTCTATTTATAAGGACCATAGGAAAAAGGGCTTTCAAACTCAAAAGCCAAGTTTAATTAGAACACATCTGGAGCTATTAACTTCTTAAATAATTCAAAATGAGACAATATACCTGAGACTAATAATAATGAGACTAATGAGACAATAAACCTGACAGATTTATAAACAGGTCACCCTCTTTGTCACTGTGTCTTTACAGGATATTGGAAAGGCCTTTATTTCCGTCTTGCTCTCATTCTCCCAATTTTGACATGGTTACAAGCTTTATTCGTTCTGCTCTAAGTCCCTAAGTTTTTTCTGTCTGCTGCATCTGAGGCAACCACATCTGTCTGCATGTCAGCTCTGTGCTGGTTGCCTCTCCTCAATCCTTTCTCTCCTTCTTCATGCATTAAAAACCTTAGAGTTTGATT